GGCTTATGTACATAAATGTTTTAAAACCATTCAACTCTCATGGTTTAAGAACACTTGTTAGTTTCAGTTTGCCAGTTTAGGACGATGAACTTCTATATAAACCCCATTTGATGAATGAAATCAACAAGCAGAACTCAAAGCAATTCCTAAGCTTCTTCTTTTTGTTTCTCTGATTCTTCTAAAATTCATCTCGTTCTCTTATTCCTATAAACTAGGAATTCGTAGTTCTATCGACTAGAAGTTTTGGATCATAAAGGTTAGAGGCCTATTGGGCTTATAAGATGAGTTGTAGATGACAACTTAAATGAAGAAGCCTAAGAGACCCAATAAATAAGCCAAAACTGGCCATAAGGGAAGTGGAATGGGTTTGACTCATTTGATGACTAACATGGGTCATGGTGACCCATCTTAAAATGCCTAGCCTATATACATAGCTAAGCCTTGAGTCAACTTAAGTTTTGAGTTTTGGGGATTGAATGAGGCTAGTGAGGCACTTTGATTCTCCCCTCTACCATGGCCGACCACCTAGGGAGTGTGATGCTAGCACCTACACCTCCCTAGGTTCTCATCTCCTTCTCCATGCTTTTTCTTTGGTGTGTATGAAATTAGAGGTCATGCATTTGTGTGGTTTTCTCTTGGAGAATCTTTTAGTGAAGACCCTTCATGGGTGATCAAACCTTGAGGTTTGTTCAAGGTAGTGCTTCAAAGATATAAAGGAACTTCTTCTCCCTCATGTAGTGATTAAAAGAGTCTAGATGCTTCAATCATTTAGGCTTAAAGATATGGGAAAAGGATTTGTTTTGAACTCATGTTTTAATCTTTAGCAAATTTGTCTTACCCCCTTCAAATTCAATTTGACTTACCTACAACCCTTCACTTTTTGCTTCTATAAATAATACCCTGTTTTTTTCAACCAAAACCCATGACTAGGATCCAACTCATCAAGTTACCTTATTAAGCTAAATATCTGATTTATTATGATTTTTAAGTTCCAAAATATCCCTATTTACAATTCAGCGTGTAAGTGGCTGGTGTTTGAATTTTTGGTCCCCCAATTTATTGTAGTGATCCTCTCCAGAATTTGTGTCTGCAATTAATTATCCGTTTTGATTATGGGGTTGATTTTCTTAGTCAGATGTTTTGATTATGGTTTTAGTTTGGAGATTGGTGTTTTGATTAGGGTTCCTAAACGTGGGTTTTTGGTTGAGGGGTTCCTTTTGTTGCAGTTCAAGAAATTCCAGGTATTGTAATTCATGCTATTTCTTTTTGTGAATTTGTTTTGTAATTTGTTCTATTTTACATGTTTTTTTAACATAATTTTCATTGGTAATTTTGGTGTTCTGGGAATCTGATTATCTGGTTAACTAACAATCATTCCTAAATGTGGGTTTTTACTATTGGTTATCTGGTTATGTAGTTTTGCTCCTTTTGTGAAATTGTTTTGTGTGATTTGTCGATGAATGGAATACCTACAGGTTATTTAGTGTACCTACACGGGGTTTTTACTGATCACACTCATTCCTAAATGTGGGTTTGTACTATTGGGAATCTGGTTATGACATCTTGCAGACTGTGTGAGATTTTTTTTTAATCAAGGTCATCAAAGGAAATTATTGCTTTTGTACTATTGGAATCTGGTTATGTAGTTTGCTCCTTTTGTGATTTGTGCCATACTGATCACACTCTTAGTCTATTAGGTTTTGGCGCACACTACGTGTTCGATGAAAGTCCCAAGTGGTTTTGTTTATGTATCATTTTTTGAGATACTCTTGTATACTGATGGCAGTTGTGTTCATTTTCTTTCACTTAGTTAGGTAAATTATTCCCATCATTATTAGTTTACCTACACGAAATCTGGTGTTGATTTTTGGTTTTGTAAAAACGGGTTATGTACCTATGTGTTATTTAGTTTTGCTATATAACCTGTATGTACATAGCAAAACTACAAGTTATTTACCTACAGGATATCAATTGTGTCTAGAGGATATCAGTTGTACGGGTTATGTACCTACAGGTTATTTAGTTATATTGGGAATCTAGTTATGTAGTTTTGCTCCTTTTGTGAAATTGTTTTGTGTGATTTGTTGATGAATGGATAGGTAAACTGTTATGATTTTTGGTTTGTAAATTAGGTTATATACCTATAAGAAAAAGTGTATAGAAAAACAATGTAAAACAGGTTATATACCTACAGGTTTTCTGATCATTAAATTATTTTGACATCTTGCAGACTCTGTGATATTTTTTTTTTAATCATGGTCATCAAAGGAATTTTTTTCTTTTGTTATCTTGTGCCTTTGCAACAGGTTTTGCTATATATGATTACGTTTTTTTTTTCTATATATTTTTTGAGATACTCCTCTATATTGATAACAGTTGTGTTCGTTTTCTTTTAGTTGTTAGGTAAATTATTCTCATCATTTTTAGTCTACCTATCCAACAAACAATGATTTTTCTTTCCCTGAAATAATGTTGGATACTGGGGTAGGTACATTAGTTTGCAAGTTAAGACTAACAATCATTACTTTCTTTGTTAAAGCAAAAAATGGAACCTGTTGTATTTGGAAGATGTGTGTTTAAGGACAAGACTGTTTCAATTCCACTTAAAAGTGACTCAACTTTAATGTTGTTGTGTTCTGATATATGTTCAAGATTCAATGAGCTTGAGGTTGGGGCTTTTGAGATGACTTACCTCGTGTCGGATCATCCTCCATGTGTACTAGAGATCGACTTAGATGTGCGTGTAATGTATCAGTCCCTGATGAATGAGAAGAAATATACAGTTACAATTGCTATTAAGGAGTGTCTATTGTCTGAGAAGCAAAACGGTGTTGATGATGTGTTTGGTGGTGACGGTAACTGTTAAGCTCATAATTTCATACATATACATGCCCTATTTACTTACTTCTTTTGCTTAGTTTCTTAGATTTCTAAGTTATTTGCCTCCCTTTGTGTGTTTTGTAGGCAAATAGAGCAAGAGAGCATAATTCATGCAATTCAAGCATGTTAAGGCCTAATTTGGATGAATGGATGAAGAGCTTAAAAGACAAACTCATTTTGGCTACAGCCCCCTGCTAGTCCAGTTCCGTAGGTCATATTGCAAGCTTTGTTTCAGCAACCTACACAGCTCGGATGAGGCAGCATTCTTCATGAAAGTTGTTCCAATGGGTGTGTACTATAACATATCCACAATTCAGCCCCATTGGATAAATATGGAGTCTGTTACCTAGCAAACACAGAGCCATGCTCAGGATGGATTTTATCAGCGCGCAAAATGAGTTAGCA